TTGGGATTGACATCCTGTCGCTCCAAAAGCATCTTTACCATCCCCTCATGCCCGTACCTAGCAGCCCACAAGAGTGGCGTTCGGCCGTACCCGGTGTCTACGTGGTTGGGATTGGCATCCTGTCGCTCCAAAAGTATCTTTACCACCCCCTCATGCCCGCTCCTAGCTGCCCACAAGAGTGGCGTTCGGCCGTACGTTCTGTCTATATGACTGGGATCGACACCTTCTCGCTCCACAAGCATCCTTACGACCTTCTCATGTCCTCTTCTCGCCGCCCACGTGAGAGCCGTGTACCCCATGCAATCACTCGCATTAACATCCCATTCTTTCATCTCTAACACAGCAGCAACTATCCCTGCCACCCCCAGAAATGCTACTCCGTGGAGTCCTGTGAATCCTGTAGGTCCTTCCGCGTCGCGAAAGTAAGGGCCAAATCCTCCCTCCCCATTATACGGCAATAATATTAGCTGGGCGGATATATGCTCATCAAATCTGTCAAGAAGCCTCAGCGCAAGAATTTTTACATTTTCCGTCATCTCCCTTCTTGCGTGCTTCCCCCAGAAACAAGAAGCATAGTCTAGAAGGGGCATTCTCAAGGTAGCCAAGAGAAGTGTCGGCGGAAGATCTCGAACACATCCAAAGTTGAGGTACGTCAAGCAAACCTCCGCAATTGACGAGTGCGGACTATGGAATAGGGTCGGATCATTCGAAAGATGCTCTTTCAGAGTAAAGTGCACTAGTCGGACAATGAAGGAAGACGGTTCTACTGTGACGAGACCCAGAGAAGACGCTAGGAGTGTCCGTAACGCAGGAACGTTTTCAGGATCCATTTCCACAGATCCTATTTCGACTCCTAAGGCATGGCAGAGCTCCACGGCCCGTAGTGGCCGTTCCGAATGCAACACCCACATCAGGACCTTCAATCCGAGCATCGATCTGTTTCCCTTCTGCGCTTTCAGTCGAACCAGAGCCGCCCTGTATGCATCGCTGAGTCCATTGCCTTTTGTCGTGTTTTCAAGCTTCTTTCTTCTCTGGCGAACTGTCACCTCTCCCAGAATAGCATCGATGCTCAGCGAAACCAGGAGGAATCTGCGCACAATCGTTACTAAGTATACATTATTGACAGATCGGGAATGCTACATCCCCATACTCACATATCAGATGTTCTCTCCAGGATAATTCTCATAATATCCGCGCGCAAATCATCGTTCATCGCCTCCGGCTCAGCATCCCTATCTAACTTCATCTCCAGATAATTCCTTATATCATCCCTATTAGGATTGATGGGTATCACGACCACTCCGGTGAAATATCTTTGAATATTTTCTCTGACATAGGGCCTCCCCGTGAGGAATACTCGCGTCCGAGGGGACTCTTGAACAATATCTCTGAGCAACTCAAGAAGCTCTGGTAGGTGCTTCGGCAGGCATTCGTCTAGAGCATCGATACAGATAAAAACCCGAGGCATTGAAGCAATAGTGATCTTCAGCAATCCTATCAGATCCGGGAGTCGCAGCCCTCTGCCGCCAAACTCCGCTTTCCCTTCTTTAAACGCCTCGCGTATATAATTCGGGATGTCCCCTCTGCCCACTAGCTGCTTCAGAATTGCTCCCATCATGTTGGCGATTGTCTGCTCTTGCTAGGCGAGAAAGTCGTAGTACAAGCCTGCAACCGCGATATCTTCCTTCCTCGCCCGATCGCACAGGCTGTCAATCACCAGCGAACTAGTTTTTCTGGCAGTCAAAAATATTCGCCTCTCTCAAAGTACCACGCCACTTACCTTAGATATGTCTTGCCTACCCCTGGATTTCCAGAGCAAAACAAGACAGCCTTCTCGGCTCCACCCTCACTGCCTCTC